GCCTGCCCCAGAAACGGCTGCTGGGCGCCGGCGGGACGGCGGAGGGCAGCGCCCCGGCCGGCAAGAGGCTGCGCCCGGAGCCTGGCCCGCCGACACCGGCCCCCGCCTCGCCCCCCGCCCCGGGCAGCCCGGAGGAGAACGGCCGGGACGGCGCTTGGGACGCGGAGAGCGACGGGAGCGACGCGGGGACGGAGGCTCCTGCGGTGAGTCCCGGCGCGGGCCCCGTCCCTGGGGCTGTGGGCTCCGTGGGCGCGGACAGGAGGGGACGGACGGGGGCTGGGGTTCCCGAGGTGCCCGTGGGTGAGGTTTGTAGAAGAGCCGTTTGAAGCATCTCTCGGCACAAACGTTCCTCCCGTTTCCCCCTGACCTCCCCACCTGGCAGTGTAGAGCTTTGCTTCACCCTTTGGATGTCTGAGGGATGAAACACAGCGCTCCTGATGTCAGCCCGAGTAGCTAAAACCCAGCAGCAAAAGCCTCGGTGTGCTCTTGTGCTGTCAATAACCCTCTTCCAGGCGTTTTTACAGAGGGATGCAGTCGTAAGATAGGAAAGTTTTGTCAAGGTTCATTCATATTTAAATCATTGTTTCGACTTGTCAAGTCCACCTGCTCCTCTGTGGAAAGTGAAATGATCTGAGGCTGTAAGGCCTTGATGTGCAGGATTTGCCGTGTTGCTGAAGTTTTAAGTTGTTCATTGATTCACTTCAGAGTTTTCATTCTGCTGAGATTTTGATGAACTGACCCTTTTTGTAGAATTAATGCCAGCAGGAGGTTGTATAATGCGAGGTAGGACCTGTGTGGACAAGTTTGGGCGTTGATACAGGATCACCCCGGTTTGTACAGCGTGGTTTTATTACGAGTCTGTCGAACCACTTCTGAATAATTTAGTCAATCAATGTACAGACTCACTTCCCAGAAGCCTGGGACATCTTGTGTGCCACGTAATTGTGCGATTAAGAGTAATTGGCTTTTCTTTTTGTAGGATGGACACTCGCAGTTATCAGCTTACGAAAGGAAAAGACTGAAGAACATTACAGAAAATGCCAAATTCTTCGCTGCTTTAAAGCTGCATGAGGTTTGTGCAGATTCTAAGTAGCTTCAAAATAGGCTTTCTCAAGTGTGATGGTAATTGTGCTGGCATCCCTCTGGTTGTGAAACCCCCCCCCCCCAACAGTGACGTGTGTGAGGAAAGCCCCGAAGTGTCCTGAGCCATCAGGACTGCCCTGACTGGGTAAAAAATTCGGGGGAGGGGGTGTTGTTTTGCTGGTTGTCTTTACCCAAAGAGGGGAGGTCGCTGGTTAAACTCACACCAAGTGCAGAGAGCAGAGCTGCACGGACACGGCGTTCCCAGTGGCAGCACCCAGTGCCCGTGGTGGCTGCGCTGCCCACCCAGCCCGGCCCAGGAGGTGACCCTGGGGTGAAACGCTCTCGTGAAGGTGCTCGTGTGAGTGTGGGACGTGCACTGCCCTGCTGGCTTGTGTAACACGTGCCCCCACCCCTGCTCTGCGCCCGCCTTCCCGCCCAGGGCGTTGGGCTCCTGTGTCTGAGATGCAGCTGGTTATCTGAGGCAGGGCACCGGGTGGGGGGGCTGGGGCTGGCGGGGGCTCCGCTCACCCCCCTCGTGCCAGAGACACCCTCGGGGGGGCCTGCGCTGCTGGTGCCTTCCCCCTCCCGGCTGGTCATCAGAATTCTTTCCACCTTGGAGAAATTGTCTGGAAAGCTCAGGTCACAGGATTCCAAGTGCTGTCTGTCACATGAGTAGATCCAAACCTCTGCCCTTCTTTCCGTACTCTTTCATTCTATTATTTTTATTTTTTTATTGCAGCCTTTAGATAATTATATTTCATACAGGTTGATCTCTTATGCTTGTTATATATATTTTAATCTATTTTTTTATTGCAGCCTTTAGATAATTATATTTCATACAGGTTGATCTCTTATGCTTGTTATATATATTTTAATCTTTTTTTTCCTCTTTTAAGTCAGCTGCAAGACTTCACCAGATTGCAACTAAAAGACAATCTCATGTCACCAAAAGGTAAAATAACTTTATATGAGATTTTTATCACCGTTTTATTTGTTGTGTGTTTGCCCTTTTAGCGCTTCCCTCTACACGTACCTGATAGTGGGAAGAGGGAGAGCTAGTGAGGAGTCTCCCTATAAACTAAGCAGGAATAACTGATTAGCTTGAGCTGTGTGACTTCAGGAACAGGTAACTCCTCTTGGTGGTGCCTCTCCTCTGCCGGCCTTTGGAAAGAGAATGACAGCAGTAATATTTTCTCCCCCAAATTACAGAATATATTCTTTTTTGTGATATTTGTATTAAGGTACTTCAAGCTCATTTCTTTTTTCTGGTGATATTTTTGCATGATGGCTAAAGAAAGAAATGTTAAATGATGAAAACAAATGATGGGAAAAGGCTTGGGAAAGAAAGAGGGAGGGGGGAAACTAGGTGCAGGGGGGAGAGTAACCAATTAGTGCAGAGGAAGAGACATTTGGCAGCGCCAGAACAGCGCCAGGCAGAGCAGCAAAACGAGCTTTGGTACAACCCAGAGGGAGATACGTGATGAAAGGAAGTGGGAAAAGATGACTAGATCAATGAATGGAAGGATGAATTATAAATAAGGAGGACTGGGGAGAAAAGTGACAGTGGCAGGATGTATTACAAGCAAAACAAAGATGCTGTACATACACAGGCAGTGGGAAGTGCTCTCCTGGGGATGGGGGGCTGCGGGCAGACCTCCCGCAGCGGGGGGGAGCCAGCTGGGCTGGGGGGCTGGGAGCCCCTCTGGAGCCTGCTGCTTGCACGCAGGGGGCTCGTGTTATTCCCCTGTGTCTCTAATTCGGCGCCAGAACAGCACCAGGCAGAGCAGCAAAACGAGCTTGGGTACAACCCAGAGGGAGATACGTGATGAAAGGAAGTGGGAAAAGATGACTAGATCAATGAATGGAAGGATGAATTATAAATAAGGAGGACTGGGGAGAAAAGTGACAGTGGCAGGATGTATTACAAGCAAAACAAAGATGCTGTACATACACAGGCAGTGGGAAGTGCTCTCCTGGGGATGGGGGGCTGCGGGCAGACCTCCCGCAGCGGGGGGGAGCCAGCTGGGCTGGGGGGCTGGGAGCCCCTCTGGAGCCTGCTGCTTGCACGCAGGGGGCTCGTGTTATTCCCCTGTGTCTGTAATGTGAAATGTATTAATTGTTCTAGGGCTAAGCCCAAGAAGGCAGAAGATGAGACGGTGCGGCGAAGGTCTATGCGCTTGCAAAGAGTGGAGCCATCAGGAATTCCCGTGGCAGAGGTGGCAGCCCAGCTGGGAGCAGAGGAATATGTGAGATGGGGAAGGGTTAGAGGAGGGGTGTGTGTGTGTGTGTGTGTTTATACACAGCTTTATAGAAATGCTGCTGGCTGATAACACGTCAGTTGTTTATAATAAGCTGAGCTTGTTGTAAAAGCCTTTAGACGTTTGGAAAGGTGCATTATAGCCTGGCAATAAGAAAAGGTAAATTCTTGCAACCTCGAGTCGCAGCCTCCCCACACGTTGGTCCGTGTGCAGTGACTCTGATGAAATGGGGCGGTTTGGGATGATCAGAAGGGGCCTGAGGTAAAACATTACGCATCTTTCAACAGCCCATAGATTTGAGCCGCTTTAAATTCAGAGTTTTATTACTCTGTTTTAATGTTATTTCACTGTAACTTCTGATCTAGTTTATTTTCCTTTGCAATATTTACTACCTCTTTGAAGCAGTTATATAGCAGTAAGTAAACATTCTATTGCTCTGAGAGATGGGAGTTTAAATCTTCTGCGGTGCTGTAGGACGCAGCTAAATCTCCAGTGTGGTTCCTGAAGATGAGCTGTGCTGGGTGTCAGAGAGGAGAGCAAAAACCAGGGGGGAGCTGTTTGTCTTCCCTGTTGTGTTTAGCAAAGTTCTGTTTATCTTGTTAATAACATTTGATGCAAACTTTGTTGTTGTTATGTTTATTTCTGGTGTTATCATAGGTGTGTTCCACACATCAGAACATCCGGTGTGTGGAAAGTAACAATTTGCTGTGCTTGTAATTTTAGTTGATTTGAGTTACAGAAATTGCTCCTGTCCTTCCAGCCTCAGGTTCCTGCCGGTCCATTGCCCATGGTTCCAGAAGGTGAGACAGAGAACAGTAAATTGTCAGAGGAATTACTGACTACGTGGATGAGAATAAGCGAGGTAGTACTGCTGAGTTATTTTGGGATAAAGTCATTTACCTTGGGTTCTAAGGAATCTAATTCTGATAAGTATTTCCTCTCTGTCTGTAGATGAAAGCTGAGGATCCCGCAGAGCACACGTGTGACATGAAAAGGTAACCTGAAACAGCAGCTAGAAACCGGGTGTGGGCTTGTTCTCCTCCTTCCTTGAATAACTGAGGTGTTAATGACGCTCTGTAGGTACCAGGACAGCCTGAGCAGCATGGTCCTCAGCCCAGAGAACGTGAAAAAGGTGGTGAAGTATCGAGTGTGTTCGATGGCCATCCACCCTTCCCAGAGCCTCCTCTTTGTGGCCGCGGGGGACAAGACCGGGCAGGTCGGGCTCTGGAACGTGGTGAGTTGTTGGGGCCTTGGGAGTGGGTGCTGGGGGGTTGTTGGGGCCTTGGGAGTGGGTGCTGGGGGGTTGTTGGGGGGCTCTGTTGGCTGCAGGATGGGAGCAGGGGGCACGGCCCGGGGCGTTAGTTTGTCAGGCTCGCGGTTATATTTTAGGCTTTCCCCATTCTCACGGGTAACAGCAGGGTGTCTGTTGGGCTGAAGCTCAGCAGAATCGCTTGAAAGGTCTGTCTGGTCCTTGGCAAGGCCAGGTTTGATGGGAGGAAAGGTTGCACTGGTAACTTTTGGGGGCGGAGCGGAAGAAAATGGATCACGGGCTGAAACAATATTATCGGTGAGGGTTAAAATTCCAAGTGACCAGTGAGAAATTTGGATTCTAATTCCAGTACCCTTGGAGCAGTACCACAGCTGGGTTTTGGAGAGTGAGCTGACATGGATGCTGCAGTGTTGGTTTTTTGAGCTTGTACAGATTTTGGGAAGGTGCAGGGGGTCGCTGTGTGTGCCAGGCAGCAGGGATGGAATTGCTGTGCCGGTGTATATATGCTGGCACCTATTTACTTACATTGTCTGAAAAATAGCTTAGCACTTGGTGTTTTGAAAACTTTTGAGGGCTTTGTGGATAAAGTGCACTTTAATTAGAGCAGAAAATGGCAGCTCTTCCTAATTGGGAAACAGAATTCTGAAACAGAGTAAACTTTTAGTGCTCTTTTGAGCTAAATTTGAGCTCTCCCCCGCAGAGGTGAAACCCCTTTGCTCCGGTACAATGTTTGCCTGGGCCCCCGGGTGGGCTTGTGGCTTGTCACCTGTGCTGGCCACACGTCAGGCACCCACTGCCACCTCCTGTGGTTCTCCAGGGCAGGGCGAGAACGTTGGGAAAGCAGAGACTGCTTTGAGAGCTGCAGTAATTAACAGAAATGACCACGGTGATCAGTGTCTGTGTCCATCGAGTCTCGGTTGTTTTCCAGAGCTGCACGTCGGATGAAGGGGCACACGTCTTTGTCCCACACAGCTCCTCAGTCACCTGCATGAAGTTTTCTCCCTGTAACCCCGCTCACCTGCTGTCCCTGAGCACGGAGTCCCTGCGCTGCGGGGACGTCTCGAGGGCCGTCTTCGATGAGGTGAGTGTTCCCCCGGCCCAGGAGCCTCCTGGGGTCTGCTGCTGGGGGCTCTTGGGCTCCTTCTGCCCAGGCTGTTACTTGTTGGTTGGTTTGTTAACAAGAAAGTTCAAGATTTCCATTTCCACAAGGACAGATGTAGTAACCTTTAATTAGCATCATAAAAACGTGGAGATGCTTCTACTCAATAAAATGCAGTAACAGCTTGGGCACTCTCCATTTCCCTCCCGCAGAGGCAGTTGCAGTTATTGAATTTAAATTCACATCTTTGTACTTAAGCAATATGTGCATCTTTACAAAAGCAGGGTGTTCTAATGATGACAAACAAGAGCGATTTAAAGAACTATATTTTACCCAAAAAAAGGCCCCACCCAAATAAACCTTGTAAAACACCACAAAGCACGAGCTGACTGTGCTGTGGTCAGGCTTGCAGTGAGCAGGATGCTGCGAGTGTCTCCTGGTGAGCCAGGCAGCCACGGAGGAGCTTCACGGGGCTCACTCTGCTTGTCTTTTGACAGACAGATGTGCACTGATCAGCTCTCCCACGCTGGAAAGCAGAACAAGCTACAACACTTTAAAGTGCTTTTTCCCCAACCCTTCTCAGCGCCGTAGCTCTGGGGGGGTGTGGGCAGCGCCTGCCCTCGGTCGCTCAGGAATAACTCTGTGTATCGTGTCGAGCAGTTTCAGTTACATTGGACCTTTCCTCTGCCCAGATATGCAGAAGTGAAGATTTGTCTTCCTTTGACTTCTTGGAAGACAACGCCTGCAGTGCCCTAGTGGGGTTCTGGCACGGGGACGTGGCCGTGGTGGACAGACGGACGCCGGGAACGTCGTGGGAGCTCTCTGCGGACATCGGCTTCAAGAGAACCAGGACGGTCCATGTCCACCCCGTGAATAAACAGTATTTCCTCGCTGCTGGCTCAGTGTAGGTAGCTCAAACCCAGCTGCAGTTTCTGAGTGTTCTCAGGGTTGTCTCCCCGCCGATGGCTGAAACCAGCTGTGAATGGCACGGCTGGAGCAGGAGCAGCCCCTGATGAGGGGGGTTACAGTTACAGCCCCAGTTACAGCCAAAGCTTTCCTCATCCATTTAGAAAACAAGTTTTTTGTTCTTAGCAGGATTTTAAGTCTGACATACTCGTGACTTTGGCTTTTGGTAATGGGTACAAAATGGTCTTACGACAGGTGATGGTGTAGAGGGACTTTATTGAGCTGCTGGTTTGGGGTGGTTTTGGTGCTCTCACAATCCCGTGGAGCCTCTGGCAGTTGCAGTGACTGTGTGCTGCTGGGGGCAGCTCACATGGAACCTGCCGTGTCTCCAGCATGTTTTGGTGACCAGAACACACGAATATGAGCTCTTCACCCGTCACCTCCTGAGGTGCTGTGTGTGCTGTGTTGCAGGGATGTGTGCGTTTACGACATCCGGTACCTGAAGTCCAGTGGGAACAGGCCTGTGAGCTCCCTTGTGGGACACACCAAAAGCGTCGCTTCCGCCTATTTCTCTCCGGTGACGGGGAGCAGGGTGGTGTCGGTGTGCGCTGACGACAAGCTGAGGTACGGCCGGGGGGGTCATCTCTCTGGAAAATACCAACTGGTGGGGGTTTTAGTAGTATTTCTTGTCTGCTTGGTCCATCATCGAGAGCTTCCTGTCTCTATCGCCTCTTCTAAAAGTGATACTTACTGGCATGGTGTGATATTTTGAGTGGTTTTTCCTAATTCTCATTTTCCTGAAGAATATTTAACAGTGAACAGTGAAACATACAGGTGCTGTTGGCCATTAAAACAAACAAATAAACAAAAAAAAACCCCCCAAACAGCAAACCCCAAACCAACCAGTTAAAAACCTGGCTGGTGAATACAAAATGCTTAGAAACGTATTTTTAGCTGCTGGTAGTTAGAAGCCTGACAGTATTAGCTCTTTTGTAACTAGCTCCCACTTGTTAATTCAAACTGCTGTGAGCTGTGTTAGAGATGTAGTTTTTCTCTCTACTGGGTAGTTTTGTGCTCATACTTCAGGCAATCTATTGATGGGAATACCCCATTGCAGCTCTGTACGCACCACGTAGATGTTTTGGAGTCCCAAATTGTGCCAAAGAGCAGGTGTAAAACACAGCACCCAGCTCAGGCCAGGGTGAAAATCCAGCCTCTGCTCTACAGGCTGCGAGGGCTTTTAAACCCCAGGGTAACTGCAGGGATTCTGGAAAGAGCCCCAACGTGGTGGGGCTGTAACGGCATTCCCTGTTTTGTCTGGAAACTTGATTTTCTTTCTTCCCTCTCCACGCACCCAGGACAGAGATCTTTGGGGTGTGCTGCTGTAAACCTTGCTTTCCTGTGATTTAGCTACTGTAGATAATGGAAGGTCTGTTCTAGTCCACTTTGTTATGAAAATTGTAAATCCTTGGCACTAACAGAGCAAGTGTCGGAGTAGGGACTGGCTGTGAGTAAATCAGAATATTTTTACTCAAGGGAGAAACAGATACAGGATCATTCATTCGCTGCCTCCTCCAAAGAAAAAAGAGCAGCTTTTAACCCAGCAGCTCTTCAACTTCTTGCTGTAGCATTTTTGAGATCCTAAAAGTTTCTTGGGGGTGAAGGGGAGCCCGGAACGGGAGAGCTGTGATGGTTTGTGTCAGCCCAGCCCAGCCTGGGAGGGAGCCTTGGCCCTGGGGCTGTAGGTGGTGGGATTTCACTGGGGGCGAGTGGCCTCTTGTGTTTGTGTGGTGATGGAACGGAGACGACCCAGGGTGAGGGGGGCCTCCCCTCTGTCCCAGCCAGCCCTTCCTGTGCTGGTCTTAGAAATCACAGAAGGGTTTGGGTGGGACCTTAAGCCCCCCCAGTGCTACCCCCTGCCCCGGACAGGGACACCTCCCACCACACCAGGTTGCTCCAAACCCCCTCCAACCTGCTCTTGAACCCCTCCAGGGATGGGGCAGCCACAGCTTCTCTGGGCAACCTGGGCCAGGCTCTCACCACCCTCACACCAAAGAACTTCTGCCCCACGTCTCATCTCAGTCTCCCCTCTTTTAGGTTAAACGTTTCCCCCTCCTCAAAGGGCCTTCAGAAAGGATGACCTTCAATTCTAGCAAAGAGCAAATCCAATTAAAAACACAAATTTAACACTGGCAGTTGGGATGTTGGTGTTTGGGAGCTAATGTTGGGAGGAGAGAGCTGCCAGAACCTGCTCTTGAACCCCTCCAGGGATGGGGCAGCCACAGCTTCTCTGGGCAACCTGGGCCAGGCTCTCACCACCCTCACACCAAAGAACTTCTGCCCCACGTCTCATCTCAGTCTCCCCTCTTTTAGGTTAAACGTTTCCCCCTCCTCAAAGGGCCTTCAGAAAGGATGACCTTCAATTCTAGCAAAGAGCAAATCCAATTAAAAACACAAATTTAACACTGGCAGTTGGGATGTTGGTGCTTGGGAGCTGATGTCTGAGCCCTTTGTCACCACGTTGCAGACCCCCGTGAGATCTGACCTGCACAAGGGGCGTTGGGAGGAGAGAGCTGCCGGGTTTAACACACGTCCTTCTGTCTTCCAGGGTCTATGACACCTCTTCTTTGTCACCGACGGTCAGAGCTCTCAGTACCATCAGGTGAGTGGAGGTGCTGGGGCTGAGGACAGCCCGGGCTGTGGCTGTTTCCCTGGTGGGTGCCGTGGTCCCCAACAGCCCCAGGGTGACGGGAGCCAGAGCAGCCCCAGCACCCTCCAGCCTGGGAATTCACCCTCGTCCCCACGGGTGCCTTTTGTCCCTCACCACGGCTGGGGCACAGCCAGTGAGCCCGCAGGGGTGCTGTGATGGCCTCTGAACAGAAAAGTGTGTGGTTTGGGGAAAAATCTCAGCACTTGTAGAACCCCCTTGTGCTCCAGTGGGCGAGTCACCGCCGGGGTGGTTTCCTGAGGGGCTGGAACTAGCCCAGTGGCTGGCTTGGAAATTCCTAGTTTGTGGTTTATTGACAGGCTTGATGTGTGTTTGTCCTATTTTTACTGATGTGTGCAACCTTGAAGTATGACTGTTTTGATGAATAATCACATCAAAAAGCACCCTCTCCTTTATCCTCTTGCTCCATTTCCTTCTCCCCTCCCAGCCTGGTGGTCACTGGGGGGGTGTGAGCAGTGGGACCTGCCCAACGCCGGGGGTTTAGGAGGCGAGGAAATGGGTTTAAGCACCTATGACATTAATGATGATACTTAAAAATCCTGGCTGCAAGAAGAGGAAGGTTCATCTCTTTTTCTGTTTGTTTGTTTGTTTGTTTGTTTTCCCCCCACTGTCTGTGTCCCCGAAGACACAACAACAACACGGGGCGCTGGCTGACGCGGTTCCAGGCGGTGTGGGACCCCCGGCGGGAGGATTGCTTCGTGGTGGGCAGCCTGGCACGGCCCCGCCAGGTCGAGCTCTTCCGGGACACGGGGGAGCTGCTGCACGCCTTCTCCAGCCCCGACTGCCTCGGCTCCGTCTGCTCCATCAACGTGCTCCATCCCACCAAGAACATCCTGGTGGGCGGCAACTCCAGCGGCCGCCTTCACGTGTTCAAAGAAGAATAAAAGTGGCTCAGAGAGAGATTTTTTTTTTTTTTTTTTTCCTTTTTGCATTAAATTTGTTGAATCTCTATGAAGCTGTTTCTAAGCGAACTGCATTTTCTCAGGACAAGAGTATATTTTAAAACCTTTAAAATAAATCTTCTAAACTACGTTTGGCATTCTCTTCTTTGATTTAAAAAAAATAAATAAGAATTTAATCCTGCTTTGACAGTTGTACGAAAATAGAAGTATTTCCCCAATACTCAAGTCATTTTCCAAAACAAGAAAAACCCCTGGCTCAGGAGGGTACTTGCCCTGGGCCTGAGGCTCCAATTAATCATTTTCATTAGGGAATGTGAGGTGCTTGCTCTCTGCCCCCCACGTGGGGTTTTGGGGAGCAGGTGTTTGGGGTCTGTGTCCTCAGCAAAACATGTCCCTTAAGTGTCTGAGGGCTGGTTAAACCCCTCCTGGGGGCAGAAGGACAAGCACTGGGCGGGGGGGGGACTTGGTTTCTGGAGAAGCCCCATGGTTCTGAGCAGAACTGGGTGAGTTTTTGGGGTGCAGGGGGTGCAGGCTGGGGTGGAGGGCTGTGGTCCTGGGGCTCACTGGCCACAGCACCCATGAGCCCCCTCTGAGGGGGGCTGTGAGGGACCCCACTGGGACAGTGTGTCACTGGAGTGATGAACTGGTGCTGACAGTAACTCCTGAACAAAGCCCAGACCAGCGCTGGCGATCGTGATATTTAAATATTTATTTAAATTTAAAAATACTTCTCATGGCACCAATGATTTTTATGCTAACTAAGATACTGAGTATGTAGAAAAAGGTACATTTTGAAGGAAAAA